TATAGTCCAGACTATAGACAAGACTATTGTTCAACTATAGATAAGATTATAGTCCAGACTATAGACAAGAAATATAGTCCAGATTATAGATAAGGTTATAGTCCACACAATAGACAAGCTTATAGGCAAGACTGTAGTCCAGGATATAGACAAGACTATAGTCCAGACTATAGACAAGACTATAGTCCAGACTATAGACAAGACTATAGTCCAGACTATAGACAAGACTATAGTCTAGACTATAGACAAGACTATAGTCTAGACTATAGACAAGACTATAGTCTAGACTATAGTCCATACTAGCTTACAATCTAGTCTATATTCTAGTCTAGTCTACAGTCTAGTCTATAGTGTAGTCTATAGTGTAGTCCATAGTCCAGTCTATAGTCTAGTCTATAGTCTAGTCTATAGTCTAGTCTATAGTCTAGTCTATAGTCTAGTCTATAGTCTAGTCTATAGTCTAGTCTATAGTCTAGTCTATAGTCTAGTCTATAGTCTAGTCTATAGTCTAGTCTATAGTCTAGTCTATAGTCTAGTCTATAGTCTAGTCTATAGTCTAGTCTATAGTCTAGTCTATAGTCTAGTCTATAGTCTAGTCTATAGTCTAGTCTATAGTCTAGTCTATAATCTAGTCTATAGTCTAGTCTATAGTCTAGTCTATAGTCTAGTCTATAGTCTAGTCTATAGTCTAGTCTATAGTCTAGTCTATAGTCTAGTCTATAGTATAGTCTATAGTCTAGTCTATAGTCTAGTCTATAGTCTAGTCTATAGTCTAGTCTATAGTCTAGTCTATAGTCTAGTCTATAGTCTAGTCTATAGTCTAGTCTATAGTCTAGTCTATAGTCTAGTCTATAGTCTTAGTCTAGCTATAGTCTAGTCTATAGTCTAGTCTATAGTCTAGTCTATAGTCTAGTCTATAGTCTAGTCTATAGTCTAGTCTATAGTCTAGTCTATAGTCTAGTCTATAGTCTAGTCTATAGTCTAGTCTATAGTCTAGTCTATAGTCTAGTCTATAGTCTAGTCTATAGTCTAGTCTATAGTCTAGTCTATAGTCTAGTCTATAGTCTAGTCTATAGTCTAGTCTATAGTCTAGTCTATAGTCTAGTCTATAGTCTAGTCTATAGTCTAGTCTATAGTCTAGTCTATAGTCTAGTCTATAGTCTAGTCTATAGTCTAGTCTATAGTCTAGTCTATAGTCTAGTCTATAGTCTAGTCTATAGTCTAGTCTATAGTCTAGTCTATAGTCTAGTCTATAGTCTAGTCTATAGTCTACTCTATAGTCTAGTCTATAGTCTAGTCTATAGTCTAGTCTATAGTCTAGTCTATAGTCTAGTCTATAGTCTAGTCTATAGTCTAGTCTATAGTCTAGTCTTTAGTCTAGTCTATAGTCTAGTCTATAGTCTAGTCTATAGTCTAGTCTATAGTCTAGTCTATAGTCTAGTCTATAGTCTAGTCTATAGTCTAGTCTATAGTCTAGTCTATAGTCTAGTCTATAGTCTAGTCTATAGTCTAGTCTATAGTCTAGTCTATAGTCTAGTCTATAGTCTAGTCTATAGTCTAGTCTATAGTCTAGTCTATAGTCTAGTCTATAGTCTAGTCTATAGTCTAGTCTATAGTCTAGTCTATAGTCTAGTCTATAGTCTAGTCTATAGTCTAGTCTATAGTCTAGTCTATAGTCTAGTCTATAGTCTAGTCTATAGTCTAGTCTATAGTCTAGTCTATAGTCTAGTCTATAGTCTAGTCTATAGTCTAGTCTTTAGTGTAGTCTATAGTCTAGTCTATAGTCTAGTCTATAGTCTAGTCTATAGTCTAGTCAATAGTCTAGTCAATAGTCTAGTCAATAGTCTATAGTCTAGTCTATAGTCTAGTCTATAGTCTAGTCTTTAGTCCTGTCTTTAGTCTAGTCTATAGTCTAGTCTATAGTCTAGTCTATAGTCTAGTCTATAGTCTAGTCTATAGTCTAGTCTATAGTCTAGTCTTAGTCTATAGTCTAGTCAATTCTATAGTATCGTCTAGTTGGTAGTATTTCAAACTGTAGCAGATGATGATGTAATGTCGAAAAAGAGAGTATCACTCATATCATTACATCTGTTCCGATTTTTCTATACATTTAGTAAAAAAAATTAACACTTAAAAATTGTTGCAAACCCGAACGCCATTTTTTCACAAAGAGACAACAAAAAGCCAAAGATAATAGAATCAAAAATATATAAAACAAATGATAAATGTCACTACAAAAGAAACAACAAAAATTCGAATTTAAAAAAGTGTGTACGTTAACGCAACAAAATGTTTTAAAAGTTCTTTTTGTTTAAATTGTTGGTATTTATTTTGAAAAATTGTTCTAAAATGTAGGAAAACAGAAGAATGAAAAATTCGTTTGGTTTTTCTATTTCTTTTCTTTAAGAAAATAATGATGATGGTGATGACGATGATGGCGACAGTCAATCTTAAAATAGATTTTTGCCATTTTCAATTTTTTTTTATATGATTTTCTTCTACATTTTAATTGGTTCCATACGAGATGAGTGCAAGGAAAAAAAACTCTTTTTTCATTCTTGTTTTAAAGAAAATTTTATCTCATTTTAAACCTATAAAAATAAAATATTTATTTACCAGCTAAATTAGATGAATTTTCTCTCTTATTCTCTTTTGATTTGAAATTTTTCAAAGAAAGTTTATTTTTTAAAACTTTGTATTTTTATGAAGATTTTTTTTTAAATATTTTGTCAAAAGACAATATTAAACATTTGTTATAACGCATTTGTTTAAATAAAATAAGAAACGTGTAATTATCTTGTAAACTTTATTTGCCAAATGTTTTGTTAATTTCTTTTTTTATTTAATTTTAATCTTAACCAAAAAAAAAAAAATTATTTTTATTCGATTGACATTTCATTGGCAATGTGTTGTTTTGTAATGCCACCACTCTCAACTTGCCTGTTGATTATTGAACTTTTATTTAGAAAAAAAAAACAAATAAAATAAATTAAAAAACAACAAAAAAGCACTTCTATCTATTGTCTTCTATAATTTAAATGCCAAAAAAATGTTTTTTTGCTTAAGTATTTTTGTCTTTTGGCTAAAAGGAATTTATTTATTTTTCTGGTTATATTTAGCTGAGTGTTCTTTTGACAAAATTTTAAATACGTAATTAACTGGTTTTCTAGTTATGACCTCCAGGGGTTTAGATTTTTGTTTTTTGAGTTGTAAAATTAACCATGATTTTGTTTTTCCAGTTAATAAAGAGAAAAAATTGCATAACTTTCTTTGAAAATCATAGACTAGACTATAGACTAGACTAGACTAGACTATAGACTAATAGACTAGACTATAGACTAGACTATAGACTAGACTATAGACTAGACTATAGACTAGACTATAGACTAGACTATAGACTAGACTATAGACTAGACTATAGACTAGACTATAGACTAGACTATAGACTAGACTATAGACTAGACTATAGACTAGACTATAGACTAGACTATAGACTAGACTATAGACTAGACTATAGACTAGACTATAGACTAGACTATAGACTAGACTATAGACTAGACTATAGACTAGACTACTAGACTAGACTATAGACTAGACTATAGACTAGACTATAGACTAGACTATAGACTAGACTATAGACTAGACTATAGACTAGACTATAGCCTAGACTATAGACTAGACTATAGACTAGACTAGACTAGACTATAGACTAGACTATAGACTAGACTATAGACTAGACTATAGACTAGACTATAGACTAGACTATAGACTAGACTATAGACTAGACTATAGACTAGACTATAGACTAGACTATAGACTAGACTATAGACTAGACTATAGACCTAGACTATAGACTAGACTATAGACTAGACTATAGACTAGACTATAGACTAGACTACTAGACTATAGACTAGACTATAGACTAGACTATAGACTAGACTATAGACTAGACTATAGACTAGACTATAGACTAGACTATAGACTAGACTATAGACTAGACTATAGACTAGACTATAGACTAGACTATAGACTAGACTATAGACTAGACTATAGACTAGACTATAGACTAGACTATAGACTAGACTATAGACTAGACTATAGACTAGACTATAGACTAGACTATAGACTAGACTATAGACTAGACTATAGACTAGACTATAGACTAGACTATAGACTAGACTAGACTATAGACTAGACTAGACTATAGACTAGACTAGACTATAGACTAGACTAGACTATAGACTAGACTATAGACTAGACTAGACTATAGACTAGACTATAGATAGACTAGACTAGACTATAGACTAGACTATAGACTAGACTATAGACTAGACTATAGACTAGACTAGACTATAGACTAGACTATAGACTAGACTATAGACTAGACTAGACTATAGACTAGACTATAGACTAGACTATAGACTAGACTATAGACTAGACTATAGACTAGACTATAGACTAGACTATAGACTAGACTATAGACTAGACTATAGACTAGACTATAGACTAGACTATAGACTAGACTATAGACTAGACTATAGACTAGACTATAGACTAGACTATAGACTAGACTATAGACTAGACTATAGACTAGACTATAGACTAGACTATAGACTAGACTATAGACTAGACTATATATGAGTATATCAACAACTATATCAACAATTTTTATAAAAAAAATTAGAGAAAATTTTCTATACAAAAGAAAAATTATCGACATATTCCTATAAGAGAAAATTGATCGACATTTTTAAAAATTAAAAGACATTTTTGATAAAAAAAATTTATCGACAATTTTCAATAAAAATAAAAGTAAAAATTTTTTGATAATTTTCTATAAAAGAAAATTAATCGACAATTTTCTTTAATAGAAAATGTAACGAAAATAAATTTTAAATTTTCTCTGTTAAAGAATAAAACAAAAAATTAAATTTAACAAATTGTACATATTTTAAATTCTTAACATTATAATAATTAAAATTTATTTTTTTTCTTTACAGGTAAATACATTCCAAAAAAAAACATTAAATTACAAAAAAAAAAAAAAAAAAAATAATAATGATGAATAAAATATTTATTAAATTTTGGTGAGTCATTTAATTATAAACAATATTTAAAAAATCTTGCTACAGGTTACACAATTTTTAAACTTTACTAATGCATTTTTACAACTTTTTTATATAAAATAGCTTTAACTGTTAGTTACAACAATTTTATCAAATTAACTATATTTTGTATCTCATGTACTTATAAATACACAAGTATCTAAGTTAGTTCTCCATATAATAGATATTTATTTCCTTAATTAGCATCTCACTCACAAGCACTTTTAATATAAATGTTTAAGCAAAAAAATAAAGGGTTAAAGATCAACAAAAAAGTTATATTTTTTAATTAAACAGCATCACACTTTTTTATATGTAATGTTATTGCTGTATTTGAATTAATTTTTTTTTTTTGCGTACAAGTAACTTGGCAACTCTGCCGTTAGCAACTCAGTTTCAATTAGAGACTCTGTTCTCCAGACATTTTACACCAGTTTCTTATAATTTATTTTATTCTACAAGTATTTATTAAGTATTTTTTTATTTCATTTATAATTTTGTTAATAAAATAATGAAAAAAAATAACGTCATAAAACAAGTTTCTAATTACTGCAACGTAGTTTTACTTCCAATTGAAATAAAAACTTTTGCATATTGTTTCATATATAAATACTTGTAGTATAAGTATATATTTAGATATAAAAAAAAAACTGGGTGTTAAATTGCAATTTAATTTATAAAAATCTGTAAAATTGATTTGTTAACTTTAGGGGAAAATTTTGATTTGTTTTTTATTAAAGGGAAACAATTGAAAAAAAGTTGAGGTTAGTTAAGGTTGGAAATTCTTTATAAAGACAAGTGATCAAAAGGAGAATTAATCAACAATCTTCTATAAAAAGAAAATTGATCGACAATTTTTTATAAAAAGAAAATTGATCGAAAGTTTTTTTTATCGAATTTTCTATAAAAACAGAATGGTTCAACAATTTTTTATAAAAAGATCAATGATCAACAATTTTCTATAAAAAGAAAATTGATCTTAAATTTTCTTTAAAAAGAAAATTGATCTTAAATTTCCTATAAAAAGAAAAATTATTGAAAATTTTCTATAAAAAGAAAATTGATCGAAAAAATAATCGTCAATTTTGATCTTCAATTTTCTATAAAAAGAAACTTGATCATTAATTTTTTATAAAAAGAAAATTGATCTTTAATTTTTTTCAAAAAGAAAATCGATCGAAAATTTTCTATAAAAAGAAAATTGATCGAAATTTTCTATAAAAAGAAAATTGATCTTCATTTTTCTATAAAAAGATAATTGATCTTAAATTTTCTATAAAAACAAAATTGATCTTCAATAATCTATAAAAACAAAATTGATCAACAATTTTCTATAAAAAGAAAATTGATCGACAATTTTCAAAAAAAAAAAATTGATTTTCAAAAAAAAAGAAAATTTTTCGAAAATTTTCTATAAAAAGAAAATTGATTTTCAATTTTCTATAAAAAGAAAATTGACCAACAATTTTCTATAAAAAGAAAATTGACCAACAATTTTCTATAAAAAGAAAATTGATCAACAATTTTCTATAAAAAGAAAATTGATCAACAATTTTCTATAAAAAGAAAATTGATCAACAATTTTCTATAAAAAGAAAATTGATCGTTAATTTTCTATAAAAAGAAAATTTATCTTAAATTTTCTATAAAAAGAAAATTGATCTTCAATTTTCTATAAAAAGAAAATTGACCTTCAATTTCCTATAAAAAGAAAATTGATCGTTAATTTTTCATAAAAACAAAATTGATCTTTAATTTTCTACAAAAAGAAAATTGATCTTTAATTTTCTACAAAAAGAAAATTTATCTTCAATTGTCTACAAAAAGAAAATTGATCTACAATTTTCTATAAAAAGAAAATTGATCTTCAATTGTCTACAAAATGAAATTGATCTACAATTTTCTATAAAAAGAAAATTGATCTTTAATTTTCTACAAAAAGAAAATTGATCTTCAAATTTCTAGAAAATGAAAATTGATCAACAATTTTCTGTGAAAAGAAAATTGATCTTCAATTTTCTACAAAAAGAAAATTGATCGACAATATTCTATAAAAAGAAAATTGTTCAAAAATTTTTATAAAATGAGAATTGATCTTCAATTTGCTATAAAAAGAAAATTGATCTTCAATTTTCTAAAAAAAAAGAAAATTGATCTTCAATATTCTATAGAAAGAAAATTGATCTTGAATTTTCTATAAGAACAAAATTGATCTTGAATTTTCTATAAGAACAAAATTGATCTTGAATTTTCTATAAGAACAAAATTTTCTATAAAAAGAAAATTGATCTTTTATTTGCTATAAAAAGAAAATTTTCTTTAAAAAACTAATCTTGAATTATATATCAAATTCATGACCCTGTTTTTAAAAATATCTGATGTATATCTATTACAAATTGCGTGTTTATCTTAAATCTTAAACTTTTTTTTTTTGCATATATTTTGTTTTGTCGAAAGAAAATCTAATTAAGGCCGTCTTCATTCCCCCTAAAAAACCCTTTTCTTTCATCACTAATTTACAACAACTTAATTTTATGACTTTCATTTCCATGTATTTACTTTTCCCATTGAAATCTTAACAAAAATTCTTTCCGTTTTTTTTGTAACGATTTTTGTTAATTTTCATTTCAAATGCGACGTGTTTGAACATGTGTATAGTTTTTAAAGTTTCCGTTTTGTGTTTCCTTTATCCAGGTTCCTAGGTTAAGTATTATTTCTAATTCTATAGTAAGTATATTAAATTGCTTTAGGGTTTTTATGGATTCAAATATGGGGGAGTATGTCTAAGGAAATACTTAGACATACTATTTTTCCTATGTTATAGAATATATACGTCCACATATGTGACAACATTTACAAACCCAGTATTTTTTAGACTTTGAGAATTTTCTCTGCACAAAAGTTTAGAAGTCATAGAAACTTTTATTAAACTTATGAATTATGTAAAAGATATCTAAGATTTTTTTTTTACAAAAACTTATAACAGTTTGCATGTTTATGCATAATAATAATTGAAATTAATGCAAGTGACACAATTCTCAATAAAGTGCAAAACTTTAGACACGAATTATTCTCACAAAAAAGAAAAAATAAACCTAAAGAAAAACTTTCTCAAACATTAAATATTTCAATAAGAAACAGAAAACGATAAGGGAACAAGTAAAAAATTGCAGGTGTAGAACCGAATAAATTTTGCATGAGAAACAAAAAGTTCTAACTTTTTGTTTTTTAGTCTTCATAGTAAATGATTTATGGTAGACTTACTAAATGTTTAAAGTACTGTTAACAAAAGCAAAAAAAAAAAAAAACTAATTAATTCCACACATTAGCACGTCATATATTTTCGTTACACTTAAGCTTAATTAAATAACACTTTATTAATTAATTAATTGAGAATTAGTTCGGCAACTGTCATATTATTTTGTTGTTTAGCAAGCCATGTTAGTTGTCAGGTTGTTGGCAACAAGATTTTTCGTTAAGACAGAAACATAATTAGGTCAACATGATACTTACAAGGAGGGTCCGTTAAAAATATATAAGTACCCTTATCGAGGGAAAGGAACTAAAGAAAATACATTTTCAATAATATTCAAATGTTTTGCTTGAAATATATTTTATAGCCACTAGGGACCAGCCTAATATGCATGTGACTTAAAATTTTATTTTTATTATAGCATTTTTCTTTTTTATGTCGGAACATTAATCGGTAAATTGTATTTGCTTGAAAGAGAAAACTAAACAAATTATCATGTCAATTAAATACAGGTCAACGAATTTTTGTAAATTACCAAAGAGTTCAAAAAAGACTAGACTATAGATTAGACTAAAGACTAAACTATAGACTAGACTATAGACAAGACTATAGACTAGACTATAGACTAAACTATAGACTAGACTATAGACTAGACTATAGACTAGACTATAGACTAGACTATAGACTAGACTATAGACTAGACTATAGACAAGACTATAGACTAGACTATAGACTAGACTATAGACTAGACTATAGACTAGACTATAGACTAGACTATAGACTAGACTATAGACTAGACTATAGACTATACTATAGACTAGACTATAGACTAGACTATAGACTAGACTATAGACTAGACTATAGACTAGACTTTAGACTAGACTATAGACTAGACTATAGACTAGACTATAGACTAGACTATAGACTAGACTATAGACTAGACTATAGACTAGACTATAGACTAGACTATAGACTAGACTAGACTAGACTATAGACAAGACTATAGACTAGACTATAGAATAGACTATAGACTAGACTATAGAATAGACTATAGACTAGACTATAGAATAGACTATAGAATAGACTATAGAATAGACTATAGAATATACTATAGAATAGACTTTAGAATAGACTATAGAATAGACTATAAAATAGACTATAGAATAGGCTATAGACTAGACTATAGAATAGACTGTAGACTAGACTATAGAATAGACTGTAGACTAGACTATAAAATAGACTATAGACTAGACTATAGAATAGACTAAAGACTATACTATAGAATAGACTATAGACTAGACTATAGGCTAGACTATAAACTAGACTATAGGCTAGACTTAACTATAAACTATACTGTTTACTAGAACGTAGTTTAGTCTATAGTATAGCCTATAGTCTAATCTCTAGTCTATATTCTAGTCTACAGTCTAGTCTGTAGTCTATAGTATATAGTCTAGTCTAATCTAGTCTATAGTCTAGTTTAGTCTATAGTCTAGTTTAGTCTATAGTTTAGTCTATAGTCTAGTTTAGTCTATAGTCTAGTTTAGTCTATAGTCTAGTTTAGTCTATCGTCTTAGTCTATAGTCTAGTCTATAGTCTAGTCTATAGTCTAGTCTATAGTCTAGGTCTATAGTCTAGTCTATAGGTCTAGTCTATAGTCTAGTCTCTAGTCTAGTCTATAGTC